TTATTTTGATATATCACAGTGAAAGATTTATCGTCCTCTTTTTTTTTTTTTTTTTTTTTTTTTTTTTAAAAAAAAAAAAAAAAAAAAAAAAAGAATTAGGAACTAACTTGTTTTTATGCTTTGGGCATAACTGCCTTTTGTTACTGTTGGTCCCTGAACTGAGAACTTATATATCTTAATACGTTAGCCTTAGGGAGAGTGGTAAATGAGATTTGTAGAGGGAACACTTTCTAGGGAATTGATAAATTCATGCCTTTGAAAAAGTACTTTGAATCAATCAAGCATGTTGCCCAATATCAGGCTCAACTTGTGTGTAAGCTATTATCAGTAGGGTTCTCTGGGAAGGGGAGGGGAGAGGCTTGGTTGTGTGGGGGAACAGAAGACTGGGCAGCTCCTAGGCATAAGCCTAGCCAGCTGACCTTCCCTCCTCTTTCTGGATGGGTGTGCAGAGGGAGAGTTGCAGTGTCTTGAAATCATCTTACTTTCTTTTATTTTTCTAGGTATTGTTAGAGATACAAAAACAGTTACTAGACTACAAAGGACTTGGCATTAGTGTTCTTGGTAAGATTTACTTTTGGGTTCTGTGACTATCCCAGTTTGAAAGAGAAAGAAAAAAAAAAAAGGCTCAAGCCCAGACTTGACTTGGGCATGGTCTCCCTCTAGGCAGCTGTGTGCACATTTAACTTTGATAACTTGGGTTGCATGTTGCTGGAGTGAAGTTTGCACACAATGTAAGTGATGGTGAGCTCACGGGGTCGTTATCGTTTTTTTCCAGTGACAAGATGTGAGATTGGCAGATACTGTACATTTGCATAACAGTAGTACCAAGGATCTATAATATTGTTTCACATTTAACTTATGGCTTTTGTTATGCTTAAATACAAACTCGTTAATGTTTGAAAGTTCACAAACTCTATGAAGAGTTTGCTCATTAAGTTTCATTATTAAATTTCTCTCATTATTGTTTAGGAAGAGAACCCCCAAGTTCTAAAATTTACTTTTCTATATTTATTTTGAAAGTTCCAAAGGTTGCACTGTATGAAGGGACTATATAGGTTTTTTACTAGTTTTAGAACATACATTTTGATTTCTTTCCTTTTTTCTTTTTTGCTGTTTGCTTTTTTTTTAAGGACAGATGTAATTCACTTAATTTTTTCTCATATAAAAACCGTATGTAGTAGCCGTAGCTGGAGTCTGGGTCCTCCACACAGAGACTTTGGTGATGGTTTTTACCATGTTTGGTGAATACCTAATAGGGAGATGTGGTAAATAGGGTCTTTTTCCAGAGATCAGGGGCAGAGATCAGGGTATCGGAGATGGTATCAGAGGTGTCCTTGGTAAAGTTGCCCCTGGCTGATGTGTAGCAGTCGTCAGTACTGCATCAGCAGCACCTTCTTGGGCACAGGAGCAGAGATGATGCCAGTACCTCTGGGGGTAGGGATGAAGCAGACCAGCACAGAGCCGCGGTGGCCTGTCGCCTTGCGTGGGATGGTGTGGGACTTGCCAATCTTGTTTCCCCAGTAGCCTCTACACAGGAACAAGGGAAAGCTTGGCCAAGATAATGGCCCCGTGGATGGCAATGGCTACTTCCTTGGAGCACTTAACACCCAGACCAAAGTGATTATAGTAGTCCCCAACGGTGACAAAAGCCTTGAACCTGGCAGGCTCTCCAGTCCCAGTCTCCTGCACTGGCATGATCTTTAAAACCTCATCCTTAAGGAATGTTCCCAGGCACAAGTCAGTAATCTCAGATTCCTTAATGGGTAGGGAGAACAGGTAGATCTCCAGGGATGTATTCTTCATATCCTTGACCAGGTGGCCCAACTTTCCTCAATAAGCCCCAACCGTGACCTTGGAGACTGCTGCTGAATCCTCTGGCGGTGTCTCAGCAGTCCGGTCCCATGGTGTGTTGTGTCCGTGGCTCTTCACCACCCCCCACCCCCGCTTTCCTGCTGCGCCAGGCCCTCCTGTACCTCCTACTGAACTGCACAATCTGGCATTCAGTGGTTTCCCTAGGGAGAAGCTGCTGGGTTTTTTTTTTTTTGAGACTAAGTTACTATTAGGGTGGGCTGGCCTTCAAATTAAGATCCTGCCTCAGCCTTCTAAGTTCTAGGATTTGGCGATTACAAATGTATGCCACTATTCCAACTTAGATTTCTGTGTGTCTTTTGTTTGGGAGAAAAAGATAGTTCAGAACTTAGTGTGAACCTAATGATGAATAAATGGCTTGTTAATTGAATGTGATACTTGAAAAAATCATTGTGCTGTGACTAAGACTGAAATGCTCCCAGCTTCAAAATCAGTGTGGCTTGTCCGTCATTAAGTAGCCCGTGCCTCGATTTGAACTCAGAGCATTTCCTTTTACTATTTTCTAGTGTCATAGGTATTTCTGTTCTTTGGGCTTGAACTAGAACTTTTTCTTGTTTCTGTTTCTTTGCTTCCACAGAAATGAGTCACAGATCTTCAGATTTTGCCAAGATTATTAACAACACAGAGAATCTTGTGAGAGAATTGCTGTAAGTTTTGAAAAAGACCAAATTGTGTTAGTTTCCCTTGATACAGTATCTGTTACATTATTTTCTATACTACGTTCTTTATTCAGAGTAGTCCATGAAAATCTTCTCAAGCTTCTCTCAAATTCATTAACACAAAATGCTTTTTATTTGTTATGCTGCCTACAGTTACATGATTATTTTTATTTTATGTGACATTTCTTTTTTTAAAATATTTTACTATTTTTGTTTTATGTGTATGCGTGTATTGCCTGGATGTAGGTAAGTGCACTTGTGTCATGCAATGCCTATGGAGGACAGAAGAGGCCACCGGATCCCCTGGAACTGGAGTTACGGACAATTGTTAGCTGCCATGTGGGTGCTGAGATTTGAACCCAGGTCTTCTGCAAGAACAACCAGTGTTCTTAACCATTGAGCCATCTCTCTAGCCCCTTTATGTGACATTTCTAAAGATGACAATTAATTGTATCTAGGACAGGTTTTTCATGGGCAGGGCAGATTAACTGGCTTGAAAGGGATTTCAGTGACAAAAAAATGGTCACCTTTGTCAGCGTAATTAACTGTAATCTGGTCCAGGGACCCTTGAGTCACCTGGCTGGGGCATTAAAATTCAGGGCCCCTCAGGGCCCCTGAATCAAAATTCCTGGAAAAACTGTTTTTAAAACTTTTTTACTTGCGTAAGTGTACCAACAGTGTGCCTGGTGTCTACAGAGACCAGAAGAGGGTGTTGAACTCCCTGGAATGGGAGTTAAGGACAGTGTTAGCTGACATGTGCGTCCTGACAACTGAACCCAATCCTCTGGCAGAGTAATAAGTGCTCTTAATCATTGAACCATCTCTCTCCAGAGCTGCCCCTCTCCCTTCACCCTCTCTTCCCCTGCAACTGTATTTTTAACACGCTCTTCTGGGAGTTTTAAGAATTCTGGGGCCAGTGAAATGGCTCAGCAAGTAAAAGTACTTGTCACATAAACCTGACAACCTGACTTCAGTCTTTGGATTCTATGGTCTGGAGAACCCATCAGAATTTGCCTCTGACTTCCTATCTGACTTCATGGCACATGCAAGTTCACACTCACACATCCATATTTTACACACATACACACAACACACACACACACTGATAATAACTGGGAGACCCTGTCTCATGACTAAAAAAAAAAAAATAGTAATAATAATTTAAGGGGTTGGAGAGATGGCTCAGTGGTTAAGAGCACTGGCTGCTCTTACAGAGGACCTGGGTTTACTGCCCAGCACCTACATGGTGGCTAACAAGCATCTGTAACTCCAGTTCCAGGGGATCTGACAGCTTCTTCTGGACTTAGCAGGCATTGTGTACCTTGTGTACTTAGCAGGCATATGTAGGTGTATTTAAATACATGTAGGTAAAACACCTATACACATGAAGTAAACATTTTTAAAGTTAAATAATTCAGAATACCAGACTCTGGTGCTGAGATAGCCTCAGGCTAGCTGCCCTGCCTTCCAACCGACGTGGCATCTTGTGCTCAAACAGATGGGTGTTCAAAGGGGAGGCTGCACATAGTATGAACATGACCATGTAAACATATCACTGTGAGATCAAATTAGGTTTTATTTTCTGCGTTACATAAATGATACACATTTACATTTAAGTTCAGAAATAAACTGCAAATTAACCTGAAATTCACTCTAACTCCACTGGTCAAGATAATCATTTATTGTTTAGGGTTGGCCTTTATGTCATTTCGTTACTTAAATTGAAATTCTCTTATTTTTCATAACTTTTGTCATTTATTTATTTTATGGTTTCATAGATCAAACCCAGAGCTTCCCACATTCTAGGCAAGTGTTGTACCACTGAGTTACATCCCCAGCCCAACCTTGTCTTATTTTTATTTTGTTAGTGGTGCTGGGAACTGAACCCAGAACACATGGTAGGAAAACACTGTAGCACTGAGCTACATTCCTTAGTCCCTGAACTTTGCCTTAAAAATATTTTTTTTGTATCTTTTTGAAAGAGTCTCCCTGTAGCCACAGCCAGCTGGTCTAGAACTCATTATGGAGACTAGGCTGGCCTCAGTCCCTGAACTCTGCCTTCCTAATTCTCTTGATAGATGATTAGATCAGGCGGCTAGGAAATGCTTTTGTGTGCTTTGAGTGAACTGGTGGTCATCTGCTGGGCTTGTCACATCCCTGTCTGCTCAGTGAGTGCTGTGCCACATTCATGGATCAGTACTGTCTTTAATGGGGCCGTATTTGGAACCCTAATCCAGGAGCTGTGACATTAACCACATGGTCAGTGCCTCTTCTGATTGGGATCCTGGTTTAATTTATGAGTCTATCTTGAGTAGGTTCCTGTCTTGTGCCCTTGCATGTGAGTACCATAAACGTGGAACTCTGATTTCTGCCAGTCCTTCCAGTTGCTAAGAACTTCGTGCTTGACCTCTCTTAACACCTGCCTGGCTGCTTATTACCTTATGAGTACTGAGTGGAGACCAGGTACAAGATATTTGTACAGTACCTGTTACCCATGTGTCTGCCACCCTGCCTGGCCCTTTATTGTTTATTTATACACCTGTACTGGAATCCTGTCCTCTGGACATTTATTCATAAACTCAGACTTTATTTATTTATTTATTATTTATTTAATTAATTTATTTAGAGACAGGGTCTCCTGTAGCCCCATCTGGCCTGAAACTCACTTTGTAGACCAGGCTAGACTTTATCTTACAGAGATCAACTTGCCTCTGCCTCCCAAGTGCTGAAATTAAAGGCGTACACGCCTATGCCCAGCTAAGCTCGGACTATTATAAAACTTGGGTCCATGACTTTGGTCCTCTGCAACCAATCTAAGCATCTTTTCCATCAAAATATTTTGTTATTAATATTGATATGTTTTAGGTATGTGCTTACTTGACTAGAGCTAAACCAGAATCAAGATGCCACCCAGTGACTGCCTGAGTCAGCATGGTACCTAATAGGAACTTTAAGGACTCGTGGTTCAGGTGAAGGGGCCCCATTCACTGGCTTAAGCAGAAATGGGAATATTTGCCTTCTATAACCAGAAAAGGATTTAGGAGCTCAGCTGATATTAGGATGGTGTTCCTAAGGAGGCTCTGCATGCCTGTTACAGGATTAGTTCCTATGGGTTTATTCTTTCACTTAATAAAAGAAGGTCATTCCCAGCCATTTGAGCAAAGATCTCAGAATCAGATCCATTTGGCCACCTTTGGTCATATGCTCATCTCCTGGAATTGGGGATGGCTACAGTTGAATTCTGTGGGCTAAACAGTGAGGGATGAGTCCCTGAAAGAAAGCAGGAATGGCTAAGAAGGAAGTGACCAGAGGCTTCCATGATAGTCCCCAGTAAATACTTTCTTGTTAAAGAAATGCATAGATCGAATAAATGGGCAAGGCAAGGAACAAAGTGGTAGTGACTTCACTGTGTTCCTTAGAGTGAGACTACCAAAGGTGTGGACTTATTAGAGAATTTCTCATTTGACATCTTTGACATGCGAATTTGTTATTTTCTGTCACTTGTATTTCTGCCCAGAGCTGTTCCCGACAACTACAAGGTGATCTTTGTGCAAGGAGGTGGGTCTGGCCAGTTTAGTGCTGTCCCCTTAAATCTGATTGGCCTGAAAGCTGGAAGGTGTGCCGACTACGTGGTGACTGGAGCTTGGTCAGCTAAGGCTGCGGAAGAAGCCAAGAAGTTTGGGACTGTGAATGTCGTCCACCCTAAGCTTTCAAGTTATACAAGTAAGTTCTGGGAGCTGTGCTGGTGGCAGGATGCTGGCTGACCATTACCCTGGGCAGTTCATCAGTTCTTATTATTCACCCCTCAAATCAGTGGTTAATGATACCATTTAGATTGGGTGGCTATGGTGGTAAAAGGCTACTAACTCTGTTTCTGCAGAGTAATGATAGTTTTGCTTAGCGAAAAAGCCCAGGGGTCAGGCGGGTTTGGTGCTGGGTACAGTTAAGTCAGTGGGGCTGCCATATGCTAGTGTCTCTGCTTCTATCACAGTGAACTGTAGTCAGGAAAATTGCCCCCTTTCTAGGAAGATGGCTACGGTTGCTCCTGATTATGTATTCTCCCAAGTTTCACTGCTCTTTATGGAGCATCCCAGTAACACTGTCCTGTCCCACAAGCCCTGCTGTGACTCAGCCAGTGCTTCTGCTTTACTCACATCTTACTGCTGGGGATGTGGATTTATTATTGGCTTCATTGCAACCACAGGGACCCAGAGTGGGTGAGCTCTGGGGTCCTAAAAAGAAACTGCCAGACATTGAATATGTCTGGGGTAGATGGATGGATACCTAATGACAAGAAAAACCTGAAATAACCTCTGTGCCTTTTCTTTGTATATAACCATAGCTGGTGTGATACTCTTTGATGTAGTACAGGCTAGATTTGAACTCACAGTGGTCCTCTTGCCTTGGCCTTCCAAGTGCCGGGATTGTAGGTATGCTTGGACCCTTCATTTGAAGGTTATTTGTACTTAGTAAATTGAAAGGGTGCGATAGATCTTCCTTGGTTGTTAGTGATGATGGTGAGGGAAAGTCAAGTAGGTGCTTGAATGACTGGTGAAGTGCTTTGGAGGTTTTTACCTTAGGGATAACTGTTACCATTCTTCTTGGTGGAGCTCATCTACATAAGAAAAAGAGAAGCATTCATAACCTCAGACTTGTCCTCTGATAGAAATTCCAGACCCAAGCACCTGGAACCTCAATCCGGAAGCCTCCTATGTATACTTCTGTGCAAATGAGACCGTGCATGGGGTGGAGTTTGATTTCATACCTGACGTCAAGGGAGCAGTTCTGGTTTGTGACATGTCCTCAAACTTCTTATCCAGACCAGTGGATGTTTCCAAGGTAGTATTTGAAAGAGCTGGGTTGGGGAACCAATGACTGTCTCTTCATGGTATTTTGATACATATGCCAACAGGAAAGGCCATGGGGAGTCTGGGGCTGGCAGAGGCCCTGAAGTGAGGGTAGATATCAGTGAGCATGCTGACAGCTACTTATTACTAAGTCTAGGGTAATGTTCACTCCATGGCTATATGCCAGACCTTGGGGAGCTTGCCCACCTTTGGGAGTGACTCTGGGAAACTTTTAGGCTAACATGCAGGGAGTGGTAAGCTGAATCCAAGGTCATATGCAGGTTACCAAGCTCTGGAAACTCACTGAAAGACACCCCTTCCCCCTCCATGCCTTTACCTGCCTCAGTTCTAAAAGTTCCAGAAGTTCTCCAATAGCACATATGGACTTTGAGTGGCCCCGAGGCTGGGTGGCACTGCATCAGGTACACGCAACAAGAGGGGTCTGCAAAGAACTGAAAAACAACATCCAAACCAACCAAATGACAGTCTGCCTCTTTAAAAAACATCTTTATTTGTGTGTGTGTGTATGTGAGAGAGTGATATGTATGATTGTATATGTGGGTGTGCCTGTTATGGCGAATGTATAGATGTCAAAGTATGGAGCTGGTTCTCTCTGTCCACCTTTACATGGGTTCTGGGGGTGGAAATCAGGTTGCCAAGCTTGAACAGTGAGCATCATTGCCTGATGAGTCATCTTGCTATGCGGCCGTCACCTCTATCCATCTCCAAGGACTTTCTCAGTTCTTTGGGCTGAAACTTTGTACCCATTAAAATGTCACATCACTAGCCTTTGCCAGCTACCATTTAACCTTATGAATTTGATTACTCTAGGGCCCTCCTATATGCAGAATATTTGTCTTTTAGCGCTTGGCTTAATTCGCTAATGTCTTCAGGGTTCATGCTGAAGCATATGTCAGAACTTCAATTTTAAGACTAAGTAATATTCCATTAGGTAGATTTACCATATTTGGCTTATAGTCACTCCCTCTTATTTATTATTTATTTATTTATCTGTTTATTCATGTTTAGATGGGGTCTCCCTGTAGCCCCAGATGTCCTGGAACTCACTGTGTAGACCAGGCTGGCCTTGAACTCACAGAGATTTGCCTGCCTCTGCTTCCCAAGTGCTGGGATTAAAGGTGTGCACCACTATTCCCCCCACCTTTTTTTTTTTTTTAAGACAGGGTCTCATTGTGCAGCTCTGCCTAGCCTGGCCTCAAACTTGAAATTGTCCTGTCTCTCCCTCCATGTGCTGGATTGCAGCTGTGCACCACCAGACTTGTTGCTATCATCTGTTTTTTATCATCATCACACATGACCCGCTCTAAACCATGTCAGTTGTAGATCATATGCCTCCACTTGACTTCCTAAGGGTTTTATGGAGTGGCATAGGAGGGGGTCTGTATCCTGTATAGCAAAATTTCCTCAAGTATCTTTAAATATCTATTATATTCTACAATTCCTTCTCAGGCAGCTTGTCCCACTCCTTGTTTGTTTGCAGCCATTCTTCACAGCATCTTCTGACTCTCTAAATAGACGTTTGTATAAATAAATTTGTTTGCTTGTTTGTTTTTGAGACAGGCTCTCCCTATAGCCCCAGTTGGCCTGAAATTTGTTATACAGTCCAGGCTAGCCTCACTCTCACAGATTTGCCAGCCTTTACTTCTCATATGCTGGAATTAAAGGCATGTGCCACCATACCCAGACTTTGGCTTAAAATTTTTAAAGTTTGCATTTTAATAATTTTAGATATTTAATTAAAATATGTAATTAAGGGGCTGAAGAGATGGCTCAGTGGTTAAGAGCACTGACTGCTCTTGCAGAGGACCCGGGTTCGATTCCCAGCACCCACATGGTGGCTACGAACCGTCCTTAACTCCAGTTCCAGGGGAATCTGAAGCCCTCTTCTGACCTCCACAGCATTGCACAACATGGGTGCACTCACATACATGCAGGCAACACACTCATACACATAAAATAAAAGTAAATAAAATATTTTTTAAAATGTAATTAAAATTTTATTTAAAGTTATGCCAACATTAAAAATTGTATGAATACATTTTCTAGATTAAAATGCTGTATTTTGAGGCTGGAGAATGGTTCAGTGGTTAAGAAGACCTAATGCTTTTGCAGAGGGCCCAAGTTTGGTTCCCTGGTACCCATATGTCATGGTCCTAACCCTAGTTTGGGAGTTTCTGATGCCCTCTTCTGGCCTCTGTGGGCTCTGTACACATGTGGTGCCCATACATACATGGAGGCAAAATACTCATACACATAAAATAAAAATGTGTCTTTAAATTTAAAAAAAGTTTTCATTTTGATTGCCAAAAGATTGGGAGGCCCCATCTTTCATTTGTTTATTTTGCAAAGCTGGCATAAAGCCAAGACTTTGTAGGTTATAAACGTGCTGTATTACTGTGCTACATACCCAACCCACAGGGCCTATTTTATCTGCTATCTTGTAGCCCAGGCCAGCTTTGAACTCACTATGAAGCCGAGGCTGACCTTAAACTGCTGATCCTCTTGCCTTCATCTCCCAAGTGCCAAGATTACGTGTATGCACCACCACTCCTGGCTCAGAGGGCCAGTTTAAGACCAGTTTGGAAGAAGCATGAATCAATCCCAGGGCTTCACAGTGCTGAGCATGGGCTACCTCTTCCTGGTGAGGGCTGGACCTTGAGTCTTAGTGTTCCAAGTGCGACTTCTCTGTTCTGAGTATGTTATAGTTCGGCATGTACCTAATCAGAAATAGGTCACTTGCTTAAAAAAACAAACAAACAAACAACAAAAAAACCAGCTTAGGGAAGAGATTGGGAAGTTGGCCTGCATTGCTTAGGAATAACCACAACTGCTCTAAAACAGCTTTTTTCTGTTTTCAGTTTGGTGTGATTTTTGCTGGTGCTCAGAAGAACGTTGGCTCTGCTGGGGTTACGGTGGTGATTGTACGTGATGACCTGCTGGGGTTTGCCCTCAGAGAGTGTCCTTCAGTTCTAGAGTACAAAGTGCAGGCTGGAAACAACTCTTTGTACAACACGCCTCCATGCTTCAGGTAACTGGGTGCTGCCCCCTGTCACTAGAGTGGAGGTAAAGTAGAGCATGCTTCATTAGCCATAGGTCCGAGAGTCCCAAACACCTTGTCAGCTCTCTTTGTCCGACTTGACTTCTGACCCTCTAGTCGCTGTTTGGTCAGTTCCTTTGCTGCCCTTTTAGCAGAGATGACAGCTTTGTTTTTTTTGCTTGATCTTGATAATTCGCGAGTGCCGACTGTTGACCATTAACCCACAAGCTCTCTGTAGAAAAACTGCTGTGGCCTGTACCTCAGACAAACAACACAGCTTTCCAGAAGGAACAGTGTGGGGCGCTTCCATCTGGGTCAGCCCTCGCGCGGCCTTGGCTCCTTCTCTTCCTCACCTATAGAAAAATGCCTCCTCTGTACAAGAAAGAGAGGAGTCTGAAGTTAAAATTCAGTTGGAAATTTCCCCTGGGTTTCTGTGTCACTCATAGGCTACAGAGCAATCTCCCATGTACCACTTTGCTCTGGAATAGAGTGTTCTGGGGTTAACTCTTCTGATTACCCCTAAGCCTCACTTTTAGACCTGGACTGAACATATATTTAAGATGCATGTTGGCCTGGGGCTGGGCTGAGGCTGTGTTCTGTCCTCCACTACCCTGTTTACCTCTGGGCTTTCTAGGCATGGGGAAGAAAGTGGGAAAGCAGGGTGATGAAGGTACCATTGGGTACCTCAAGGGCAGGAGCAGTTGAGGTATGGGGAACAAGGGGGCCAACCTTACCTGTTAGAAGGTAGAGCCGCACACCTGCCTCACAGCTGAGTCTTTCAGGGGGAAGCCAAGGCCACCATTGCCTTTAGACAGAGAAGGTGGAGACCCATGTGGTGTGCTTGCCTATAATTCCAGCACTTAGGAGGTAGAGTCAGGGGGATTAACATTGGGCTACATAGTGAGACCACTACATAGTGAGACCATGTCTCAAAAAATTAAAAAATCTGAGAAGGTGGGAGGAGACCGGAATGAGGACTGTCTTGGAAATGTGCCTGAAGGCCAAGAGAAGCAGGATGACAGTGCACCTTTGGGCACCTTCTCTAAGAGTTTTAAAGAAATAGATGAGCATGTTTTCATGCTGTTAATGTTACAATGAAAATCCCTTTGTGGGAGTAGTGAGAAAGGCCAGATGTCTAGTGAGAGGTGGAAAAGGGTAGACACAGAAGTCCACATACCAGCCTCTGGGCAGAGCCTCACCAGGCCGTGACCTGGGCCTTTTTGCTGTTCACTGGGATGGAAACTCTCTAGGGCTTCTCTGCCTGAGGAAGCTGCTGAATCAGAAATAAGGCAGAAAGGAGCAGTTTCTTCCTCAGACTGGAACAGTGGCAGTTGAGAACGCCTCAGTCTAAATGGTGAATAATTAGATTAAAACTGGGTAAATGCATAGACGGTGAAAGGTACTGAGTTAGTAGATGAATGAATTCTGACCACACTTCCCCTCTGAGGTTTCTTTGCTTTGTTGATAAGGCAAAAGAAGAAAAGTTTGTGTGGTTCAGTGAGGCTGAGACTTGGGGATAACCATGAGTCTATGACCTGAAATACTTTAACTTCATTGTAGTGTTGTAACATTTGAGGTTCTCCCCCGAGAACCATCTCATTCCCAGTGGTAAACTCAGCGCTTACATTCCCATGATGACTGGTCCTGTGTGGTATGTCTGGACTGTGATAGGGTCCATGATGTCAATCACTGTGTTACACTGCCTCTGCGAGGTGGGAGGCATTGAGTTGGGGCTGTGGGATAGAAAAGGCAAACAATATGAACTGCCATGCCTCCAGGACTAGAGTCTAAAACACAGGTGCACAGAGGTTTAAAATAAAGGAGTGGATGGTAAAAAACTATGTGGATTGTATGAGCAAGAGACTGGGGTTTTAAGAAATGAAGAGTTAACTTGGGGGTTGGAGGTGAGGGGTGGAGAGAGGGTTTGATAAGCCTTATGGAGACAGGGAAGTGTGGTCCTAGAGTCATGGAATGTTTGCAGAGGGCTTAGAGGGACTGGTGTGGCATCATTGAGGTGCCCTGTATAGCCACTTGAGAATGCCCTGTGGGATAGAACTGGATTGTCCTAGCTCTTGCTTCATGGCATGCTCTTGCATGTAATCTTTTGTTTCTAAAAATGCTAAATGTCTTTCAGTGCAACTTAAACAGCCTTTTGCGTCTACGTCTTTCTACTTTTGCGAAGATGAGCTCAGTGGGTTTTTTGTTTGTGTTTGTTTTAGCGTCTACGTCATGGGGATGGTCTTAGAGTGGATTAAGAACAATGGTGGGGCAGCAGCCATGGAGAAGCTTAGCTCCATCAAATCCCAAATGATCTATAACATTATTGACAATTCTCAAGGATTCTACGTGTAAGTCAATGGATTTCATTTCACATTTTTCCTCTTGTGTATCTACCTTTTCCTAGGGCACTGACGTACTGCTGAGTGTGGATGGTTCTGAGCCTTATGAGCTGGGGGTGGAGGTAGGGAAGTTCTTCCCTACTGTACTGCAGCACAGGGATCCCAGGCTTTTGAGTCTATGTCCTCAAGAGCTCAGACATGGGGAAGACTGCATTGCTGACTGGGATAGGCTTCTCTACTCCCTCATCCCTGTGAGTCACTGGAAAACACTTGTAAGAAGCTATTAACTTTATTTAAGGGTTCCGGTTGGTCCCTCATGCTATAAACGCCAACTTTTGTCTCTTCCCCACTGTGTGTGTGTGTGTGTGTGTGTGTGTGTGTGTGTGTGTGTGTGTAGGCCGGAGGACAACCTCAAGCATCTTATTTGGGACAGAATTTCTTTATTTTTCACAGCTACGTTCACCAGGCTAGTTGTCCCATAAGCTCCTGGGGACTCTTGTGTCTCTGCCTCCTGTATTGCCTTAGCAGCACTGGAATTACAGGCGTGGGTTCTGGGGATTTGAATTCAGGTCCTCACACTTGGGCCATAAATACTTTCCCCACTGAGCCCTCTTCCTAGTCCTCTTCCTCCTCTGCCTCCTCTGTTCCAGGACAGATAACCCCATCCCTGGCCTAAAGTCTGAATGAGACTGATTGAGGCAGGACTGACTTAAATATTTTCATGACAAAGGGATATGTGGACATGTGTTTGATGGGTTACATCTGTGAGCTCTGTAGAAAATGCATGGATCTTATAGGAGCTTCTTGAGGCTGCCTTAATGAAGCATCCGTGAACTTGGTAGTTCTAAACAGCAGAAATTCTCCCCATTCTGGAGGCCAGAAATTCAAGATAAAGATGTTGGTTTTGCTTCCTCCAGAGACTCTAGGGAAGAATCCCCACCTTGTCTCTTTCAGATTGGTCCTGACTTGAGGCTGCATCGTTCTGGCCTTTATGCGGCCTTCTCCTTTCTTGTCTTTTCTATGTCTTATGAGGGTAGGTCATTAGGTTTAGGTCTCTCATTACACCCCAGGATACTCCAAGGATGATTTTTAAAAATTATTTTCTTTTTTTTTTGTTGTTGTTGTTTAAGACATGGTCCCACTGTGTGTTATTCTAGGCTGGCCTTGAATTTCTATGTAGTTCAGAGTAGCCTTGAACTTGTGATCCTCGTGGCTTCCCCTCCCAAGTCCTGGGCTTAGGCTGACATGGGCTGACATACTTAGCTGTACAAGATAATCTTGTCTCAAGATCATTACCATCACTTTGTCCACAGAGACCATTTTTCCAGCTAGTTCAAATTCATGAATTCTAGAGGATGGGACATGGACCCGTGTCCATTATCCAACCCACCACAGTGGCTTTGCACCATAATGGCAGATGGGAGGGCACCTAGGGGGTAGTGTCTGGGACTTAGAAACATCATAGATGGTAATGACATTTAATCTTCCCTTTTCTTCAAGGTGGGCACAGGTGTACATAGGTCACAGATGATGTAGTGTGCATGTATGTTTGTTTATACATCTAATTGGACAGATGCATATAAACATTTATATTCAGTCCTAAGCCAGGATCCTATTCTTAGTAGTTGTGATTCTTTGAAGTTTAGTCTATTGTAATAGATGTATCTGCTTGGCAGTAATTTGCACTCCTTCCATGGGCTACATGGAATAGAAACAAATGATGAAATTCTAACTTAGAGCTGTAGGTTTTATCCAAGACTTGCTAAATCCCTGTGGGTGAGGGAAAGGTGCATTCTTTGGACAGCTATACTAAGGCTGCCTCCACCTTTCCTCTGAGATGCTGTGCCTGTTCCACCTTTCCTCTGGGATGCTGTGCCTGTTCTACCTTTCCTCTGGGATGCTGTGCCTGCTCCACCTTTCCTCTGGGATGCTGTGCCTGCTCCACCTTTCCTCTGGGATGCTGTGCCTGCTCTTGTGTGCTTCTCCTCTGCAGCTGCCCTCCAGCCAGGAACTGGGCTTCCAGGGGTGTACCACGATGCATGCCTTTTCCTGAATCCTAGGGATCTGAACTTAGATCTGGGATGCTGTGCCTGCTCCACCTTTCCTCTGGGATGCTGTGCCTGCTCTTGTGTGCTTCTCCTCTGCAGCTGCCCTCCAGCCAGGAACTGGGCTTCCAGGGGTGTACCACGATGCATGCCTTTTCCTGAATCCTAGGGATCTGAACTTAGAGCTTCATGCTTGCACAGCAGGCATAGGCCAACTGAGCTGCCTCCCCAGCCCTCATGTTGTTTTTTCATATTTTTATTTGCTTTGTTTTGTTTTTTTGAGGCAAGATCTCCTTATGTAGCCTTGGCTGGCCTAGAACTCACTATGTAGACCAGGCTGGTGTCAAACTCACAGAAATCTTCCTGCCTCTGCCTCCTGAGGGCTGGCAGTGCTGTGGGCTACTACAAATTTTAATTTTTAATGATGTGTAAATGTGTGTGTGGGGGGGGTTGTGCATATGCCTACATATGTCTACATATGCCTACATCTGGGGGAGTGCAGTGTCTACAGAAGAGGGCAACAGACCCCTGGAACTGAAGTTACAGCATTATGAACCACTGAAATGGGTACTGGGAACTCAGCTTGGATCCTCTGGAAGAGCAACACATGCTTTTAACCTCTTAGCACCCCCGCCTCCCCATGATTTTGTTAAGACACAAATCTATTATTGTGCAAACCCACTGCCTCTCATTACTCAAGGATCCAGTCTAGTTGCTGCAGAGCCTGTCTGCAGGCTCTCCCAGGGCCAGGCCCTGTGTGCCTCCCAGCCACCCCCACCAGGAGCCCAACATGCTGAGCTAATACTTGGCAGCCTCCTCCATGTATGAAGTCCTCTCCTCTGTTCCCCCTCCATGTATGCAGTCCTCTCCTCTGTTCCTCCTCCATGTATGCAGTCCTCTCCTCTTCCTCCTCCTCTTCTCCTCTCCTGACTTCCCACCAACACATGTCCTCTCCTCTGACACTTCTTAGCAGGATTACTTTCTTGGCACACTTGTCTCCACAATGGTCTATAGCTAACCACCCTCCTTACTTGGAACTGTAATTTCCCTTAGCCGTGTCTCCGTGGGAGAAACTGGTTCCTTTAATCTTTTTTCTTACTCCTGTACGAGGGACACATGGGCAGTCATGGGAGATGCATAATTTATTTGTTGAATGATGATTTAATCTTCAATTTTTAGCTTGTTTTATTTTATGTTTATGAGTGTATTGCCTTTATGTATGTATGTACACTTGTGCAATGTCCATGGAGGACAGAAGAGGGTGTTGGATCCCTTGGAACTACGGTTATGGAAGGTTGTTAGCTGCCATGTGAGTGCTGGGAACTGAACCCAGGTCTTCTGCAAGAGCAGCCAGTGCTCTTAACTGATAAGCCATCTCTCCAGCCTCTAGCTTTTTAGAAAAAACTATTTTATATCTATGAGTGTTTTGCCTGCTTGTATGAGCACCACTTATGTACCTGTGCCAGAATCCATTGGTTCTTCTAGACCTGGAATTATACATGGTTGTGAGTTGCCATATGGGTGTTGGGAACTGAAACTGGGTCCTTTGCAAGAACAGCCAGTGCTCTTAACTGCTGAGCCATCCCTCCAGTCCCTGATTTCTAGCTTTTATGATATGATTGTGGTATCCTCTGCTTTCATGACATGGTATGTAAATTGGGGGGTGAACTACAAGCAAAGATATTTGATTCTTCCTTTCCCTCCCTCCCTTCTGTCCTTTCTTTTTCTTCTCTCTTCCCTACCTTCTGTTTTTAGAGAGGGCCTTGCTACTTATCTCTGGCTGTCCTGATGCTCTGTGCTCCAGGCTGGTGTCCAGCTCACTGCAGTGGGCCACCTTGCCTAGCTCAGCCAGCCACTTTCTAAGTTAATTCCATTACTACACTGATTGTTCAGATGAGGAAGGTGAGCGCTACAGAGAAGTTCAATAACTGGTTCAAGGTCACACAGCTTGGAACTAGTACAAGGTGATGATGAGCCCTCTCAAAACTGCTGCTCATTATTTCCAAGTCTTCAGCCACCATGAGTCCAAGTTGTTACTCCTCTGCAGCCTTGCAGCTAGAGGAGCTGTGTGCCTGTGCTGTGTGACTGTTGTGTGTTGGAAGCTGTGCATATTGTACAGCTGAACTGTCAGGAGAGTGTGAAACAAAAACATTGCTATTAATAGTTTTCAGGTGGAGAGACTGTTACAGACGTTATACAAGTCATAGACTGACAAGCCCTTGTGCATGTGCATGAGTCTGTTAAATTGTAGCAGACTGGGTAAATTGTAATGTCCCGGGGAAAGCTTTCTTGTCTCCTGCTTGCATCTAGATATTTATTTACTTATCCATTTATTTACTTATTTTTGAGGCCATCTCATTTAGCCTAGCCTGGCCTTATAATTGATATGTAGACAAAGATGACCTTGAACCCTGATTCTCCTGCCTGTCCCTCCTGAGTGCTAGGATTATAAGTGTGCACTACCACTCCTGGTTTTATGTAGTTCTGGGAGTGGAATCCGGGCTTCGTGCATGTTAACACTATCAACTGAGCACCAGCCTCAGGCCTAGATAATGCTTAAAAACCTACAGATTTGTTAATGATGTCTTACGCCTTTTAGAGATGGAGCTAGAATAATAAGCATGTTTTTCAGATGTCCAGTGGAGCGCCAAAATAGAAGCAAGATGAATATTCCATTCCGCATTGGCAATGTCAAAGGCGATGAAGCTTTAGAAAAGCGATTTCTTGATAAGGCAGTGGAACTCAACATGATCTCCTTGAAAGGGCACAGGTAACATACCTCTGGTCTCCAAGTCTGTGAAAGGAAGGATGAAGTGGATCTAGGAGCTTGGAACAGCTCAGCCTGGACTGCTGGGGAACAGTCACAGTCCCTGGCTTGGTCACAGTACAACTTCTATGGAGTTTTGTTAGCATTGAAAATGTCTTACCCTGCTCTCATGGCACCAAACCTCTGATGGCATCGGGCACTCTGCCCTGGTGTTAGAGCATCACTGGGCTGACCATGAGATCCCCCGCCTTGGCGCTGTTGCACAGCCTTTCCGGTGGCATGCCAGGAGCCCCCAGTCCACCCTCTGCATCCGCCTTTTCTCCCCCCATTTATTTTTTTTTCTTTATTGAAAGTGGATAGTTTGGATATGATCAAAGTCCAATGTATACATGTCACAGTGAAACCCATTAGTTTCTAAAATTAATATGCTAATGAGCACAATAAAAATATGACTAGAGTGAGGTGACCCAGTGTGAGCATGATGGACCTTCACTGCACAAGGGAGACTTTCCTAATGATAGAAGTGGAAGCTTGGTACCGTCTCTTGGGGCTGGTTTTCAGGTGGGAAGTTGGGCATCCTGATTTCAGGTGCTGCAACTCCTAGGAGACGTGATTAGTGAAAGTTGTGTTATGTTAAATTAGATGTATTTTAATTTTTACTTTTCTTCTGTGGTGCTGAAGATTGAACCCAGGGCCTTATACATGAAAGGCAAGTGCTTTAACATTGATCTGCCTCCTCTGCCTGGTTTTCTTGGCCTTAATGGTTGGGGCTTTGTTGTTCTAGGTCAGTGGGAGGTATCCGTGCTTCTCTCTATAATGCTGTCACAACTGAAGATGTTGAGAAGTTGGCTGCCTTCATGAAAAATTTTTTGGAGATGCATCAGCTATGAACGTGTCTTAAGTACCTGCACTCTGCTCTTGAACAGCATGCAGAGTAGAGTAACTTGGAATTGGCGACAAAAACTTAACACACGGTATTTTCTAAATACGTACTTATGCAGATTCTTCTTTTTTCAAAGAGTAACAGCTAAACATCCAGAACTCGGCAGAGCTGATGAGACGACCAGCTGATGGCCACCTTAATTTTGACTTGAACTGGAAGGATTTAAAAAAATCTTCCTATTGCCTTTCTAATGAATTCAGCTTATTTTGTCTTTGCTGCTATTTGTCTAGGTGGATACTTGCCTTGGAACTTGTTCTGCCAGCTCCAATTAGTTATTTCTAGAGTCACAGGGACCTAGCACATGGTGGTTGGGAAGGTCCTTAATTCTGAATCTAGATAGCAGTGAGTCTCCCGGGTTCTACAGCTAGTTGGTTAAAGGCAATAGTGACCCTTGTGAGCATTTTGAAGTTCAAGCAAAAAGGAAAATTATAGATCTTTATACTGCTACTCTCCTAAACAGATGAAAGTGACCTACAATATAAATACTTATATAGCAGGCCTGTTTTTAACTCCATATGGTTTTTATCCATGTGTTTATATTTTTAATGAAACACTACTGTAAAGGCTTTTAGAGTTTGTTAAATCTGTGACCTTGTACATTACCACACTGCTAACAACAGTTGTACCCGCCCTCCCCACTTGGAAGCTGCTTCATGGAAAGGCTCTAGAGGTTACGTAATTCTCTTTTCTACTCCTTCCTACAGGTAGAAGAAATGGTTGGTTTGCTCTTTGTTTTTCAGTTATGTTGTTACACAAAAAAAGTGCATTTCATTCCTTGAACTGTGTTTGTGTGATTGCTTTTATAAAATTTGACCAGAGCAATACTGTATGATCCAGATCTTTGCTAAAGTCCTTGTTCATCTGTTAGTATTTTCTGTTGACTCTGTGAAGAACATTAAAGCCTTAAAACAGCTAAACCATTGTGGATGGATTCTTCTGCTTGTTTTGTGGATAAATATTTCTTTTAAATGTTCTGATGGGAAGGCAAGCATCTAAAAATAGCCTGTGATAAGGGTAATTTTGTTCAAGCAGAGGCGTCTTAGTTCTTGTGCAACTGTTTTCTACAGATTTCACCCAGTGTGCTTGTTTGCCACTTACTTTGAGAACAGACACAATTAGCAGAGCTCCTGCCAGCATAACTCACTGTGCAAAGTTTTGTGAACTCTGTCCCTGTTAGGCTGGAAGAAGGCCAGCAGAACAGTTTTGAGCTCTTCCCTTTTCGTTTGATCACACAAGGGCACATTGATTTCTTTCACTGATTTCTGGGCGCTGACTAGTTGGGTCTCCTGGTGACGTTTCAGCCTCCTAGACCTGGTTTGTGAAAGGATTGCAATAGCTTCCCCGCTCATTGCAGGATGTGTGTGTGTGTGTTTAAAACAAGGTCTTAAGGCAGGATGAGAAGAATCATCAGCATAATCCCTGTGGAATCCAACTAATGGCCAACAGGCAGTGGCAGTGCTGTCAGCCTCTTCCTCCTCAGTGTTTGCACACCCCGTTGTCTTCACGAGCCCCAGGTTTCTCAGATCTCTGCTTCTGCTCTCCTTGTCATGACTGGCTTTAGTAGCCTCATCTCTGCCCCATCCACCCCTCCTACCAGGCCGTTTGTTCTGACTTTGCGTTCTTTGTTGTTATGTGAATGGTCCCAGGCTTTTTAAGTCTGTCAGTCAGAGAGCTTCCTAGTATATGCCGTTGTTTCCTATGCTAATGGTTCTTGGGATATGGCATATATTTGCTCATGCCATGCTAAGCTTGGAGTTCCTGCCCTACTCAGACCACTCAGTAAGATGTCTTTAAGACCTGCCAGCCTCCTCACCTCATGTCTCTGTTAGTGTTTGTTCTCTTCCCTTTTTCTGTCACCAAGCTGACCCCTTTATCTCAGCAGAACAGCTCCCTTCTCTAGTGCTGAGGCGGTTGCCTGTCTGCCTTACACTTAGGAGGTGTTCGGACTGCCTGATGAATGCAAAGGTTTAATGTGTGGTTTCCGAGGATTGGACACAGTTTAGAGTAGTCAAGGCAGAATATAATCTCAATGTGTGGATTTTATAAAATTTCAAAAGTGTAGTATGCAGTGTGATTTCATTGTCTACTAAAGGGTCGAATACAGCTCTGTGGTTGAAGGGGGAAAGTTCAAATCTCACGAAGTGCCTGTGCCTAGAATTGACTTTACCAGTTTGAAAGCTTTTGGAGGTAGCCACTTGTTTGGTAATAGTAAATACTGTAGTACAAATTCTGAGGAAATAATCAGAGCCTAAAATGTGACCTTTGTTACAAGAGATGAGCAGATGCTAGTCTGCTGACCCTGTGGAGAGCAGTGGGAGGGGGTGTTAATGGTGCAGAGGCTGGTCAGGTTGCAGGGCAAAAACCTGCTGGCCTGTCAGGGGCAAGGCAGACAGGCCAGCCCTTGGGGCCTTGTGAGGCTGCCTCTCATGTTCTTTGGGATCCTCTAAATGGCTTATTCTCCAAACTCATTCTGAAGCTTATTTTTCTCCTTTAGACTTCTTTATGGCACATGCTCTAATGCCATTCCACTGAGAAAAAACATTTTCATGCTCCAAATGCTCACTGCACATACTGCCTTGTCTGTAATACTGGAGATCTGTTCCTCGCACAAGAAATAAAATTGGGTTCTGTCCCCAACCTTCATTCTGCTAGACTCCTGTTTATTGGAAGAAATATCCAGTGTCTTGTCACCGGAATGTAGCAACTGATGCTGGAAGGGTTGGCATGCTCTTGGTGGAGCTGTGTGAAGCAGTAATTTGTCTTCCTCTTAGAGCTGAACAGCCACTAAGACCATAAAAACAGAAAAGACCCATTGATAGATTAGATGGCCAGTTCTCCATGGGCATTACAAGGTCTGGCCTCATCACTGGGATTAATGTTTGTTCTAGTGTGTTCCTTATAAGGAAAAGAAAATGAAGAATTTTCTCACATTTGATCGGAATGAACATAATTAAAAAGTGTAATGCTACTGAGTTGCTAAGAAATCAATCACTTTAATTGGAAAGATTTCCTTACCTCTGTTACTAGGCTCTTGGTAATTTAAAATTGGAATCCCTGACAGTTTGTGATAAATTGGCAGAGCAGGAAAGAAGTTCTAATTACGCCTGGATTATTCCAGAGTGAATAGAAAATTGTGATCGAAGACATGTAGAGAGAGAGAGAGAGAGAGAGAGAGAGAGAGAGAGAGAGAGAGAGAGAGAGAGAGAGAAAGAGAGAGAGAGAGAGAGAGAGAGAGAGAGAGAGAGAGAGAGGGAGAGGCTAACAGTGAGCAAAGAGTTGCTGAAAAAAATTTCAAGCAGCTAAAGGATAAATTCATTTGATGTGACGGAAACAAGGGCCTATGTATCTGAGAATCTGCAGATGTAAATTAGATTTCCTATAAGCATATTAGAAAAAGCTTACATACAAGAATGTTCTTAGGGCAGGAGAGATGGCTCAGTGGTTAAGAGCAGTTACTATTCTCGCAGAGGACCTGGGTTTGGTTCCCAACACTCATATGGCAGCTCACAACTGTCTCTTAACTCCAGTTCCAGAGTTAAGAACTCTGTTCATACCTTCTTCTGACCTCCATGGCCACTACATGCACATGGTATACTTAAACATGCAGGCAAAATATAAATATATGTAGAAAATTCTGTATGTGAACAGAAATTAACCCTATTTACTAGCTAGTCTTGGACCTCACTTGGGGAGCAAGATGAAATTTGTGGTCTGGTGAAATGACTCAGTAGGGAGAGGCAGTTGCTGCCAAGACTGACAACCTAAGTTTGTTACCTGGAACCCACATGGAAGGAGACCCTGACCTCCACCCATGCACTCCCTTCATTTCTGAAACTTCCCTAAGAAGACCTGAGGAAGAGGCTGGATTTTTGGTTGATGACCTGAGGTATACATTTATTTTGAAATACTTGTGTTTATTTTATAAATTATTTTGTTACCTTATAGGGTTTATATTGCAAAAAGATATATAAGTATAGATACAATTCTAAGCTTATAGAAAATTGACTAGATTAGGTGAACGGGCTATGCTTCAGCCAGAATCAGGGCTGACAGCTCTAGGGACTTAAGGGTGTGCTTTTTTAGTATGTACATACATGTGTTTTTATGAACTATTAAGGGTGGGTTGGATACATTGAACTTCATCTCTACATGGTGTTTATTCCAAAGAACAAGGACATTCAGAGCATAATTACTGTTTTGCATTTATTTTGTGTATGTATCTGGGGGGGGGCGGTATGGAGGTCAGAGGACAGCTTGCGGGAGTCAGTTCTCTCATCTTTACAGCACAATTAAATCAGACATTTAACACATGAACTTGATTTACAGTTCATACTCAAGTTTTGCCATTCACCCCAGGAACATCCTTTGTAGCTATTTTTCCAGTTCAGTATTTAGATCACACTCTCGCACTTAATTGTCGTGTCTTTTCATCTAAATATAAAGTAGTCCTTCAGCCCTATTCATGTTATTGGCAGGCTGTGAAGAATCTCTGAAGGCCATTGTGGAGTAGAATTGGGTCTGTCCACATTTGTTCTTGTGGCTTCTTCAGGTCTTGCATTCTATCAGGGATACCACACAGCTGACATCCTGTCCTGTGTGTCCCGGCAGGAGCTCCTGATGCTGGTCTTTGGTTGTACCACTTTGGAGCCTTGGCTAACATGTTTGTGAGGCCTCCTTGCTGTCATCTTGCTACTTGGCTCTTGGTGATAAATAGTAATTTATGGAGAAATATTTTAAGACTAAATTTCATTTTCTTCCTTGAATAAATTACATACAAGTTCCATGAAAAGAAAGTGAAGTTTAAGGAGAAGGTGAAGTGATACATTATTTTTGCTTACAACACCTCTCTCAAACACCCAAGAATATAAGCAGAGCTTACAAAACAAAGTACATTTTGGGAGGCCCAAACCAGTAGTCAAGTATGTGCATTGTAGAAAATAAATTTGGACATGTTCTGGGTGTTCCAGTTTAGATTCAAAATATGCCCCCCACCCCTCCCATTCCCAATGCAAAGCAGTTCAAGGTGGAGGCTTTTGGGAGGTGATTGGGTAATACCTTTGGGTAATAAGCCCACTATAAAATGTGCTGGGGGAGGCCAGATAAGGTGGTATATGCTTTTCATCTCAGAAGTCAGGAGGCAGAAGCAGGTGGGTGTCTGAATTTGAGGCCAGCCTGGTCTACATAGATTGTTCTAGGCCAGCCAGGGCGACATAGTAAGACCGTGTCTCAAAAAAAAAAAAAAAAATGCTGGGGGAGAATCTTTGCATGTTGGATGCATTTACATCTAGAGCAAATTTTCTAAGAAAGTAGGTACAGCCTAGCTCTATCTTTAGCTCTAGCTCTTACCTGTTCAGCTACTCCACAGTTTCCCCAGCAGCTAACAAGCTAACAACTGCAGCAGACAATTATTCAGTGTATTCCATGAACAAGATTCTTGTGAAGACTTCCATGAACGAAACAGTCAAGATTTTGAATTGGTCAGAATTTTGTTGGTTGCACTAGACAGAACATTTTATACAAACTGGCTGAAACATTTTTTAAAAAGAGAACAGAAAGAAGGGAGGATTTATTGGTTGATAGAACAAGAAAGTGGAGCAGGGCCGTCCAGCCTCTCTACAGCCCCACCTTCCTGACCTGGGCCTTAGCTTGCTTTCACAACGTGCTTCACGAGCCCCCTGTGGCGACAGTGATCTGACACTGCCATTGCACATAGGCTGACCAGGTGAGAGCATGTCTGCCTCACCTTCATTGCCTGAGCCAATGAAGAAAGGACAGGCCATTGGATACAATAAGTCAAGGTTTAGCTACTGCTGCAGCTGAGTGCCAGGACCAACCCCAGCTAGGCCTTAATGGAAACCTGGTAGTTTGCTAAATACACTGCCTTTGAGCTAGATGTGGAACATACCTGTATTAATTA